CATTTACCATTTACCATTTACCATTTACCATTTACCATTTACCATTTACCATTTACCATTTACCATTTACCAGCTTTACATTTACCATTTACCATTTACCATTACCATTACCATTACCATTACCATTACCATTACCATTACCATTACCATTACCATTACCATTACCATTACCATTACCATACATACATACATACATACATACATACATACATACATACATACATACATACATACATACATACATACATACATACATACATACATACATACATACATACATACATACATACATACATACATACATACATACACACATGCACAGACGCATACGGGTAGCTCGCACATATACGTTCGCACGTATGCAGGCATGCACGTACGCATGCACATATACACACACCGCCGTCGCTGCCGACACCACCACCTCCACCACAATCACCATCACCACCATCGCCGCTAGCACCACCGCAACCACCACAGCTAATTTTATTACAATATTATTAACAAAATAATTAAATTAAATATATAATTTTATTAACAAATATTATTTATATTTATTTTCTACATTATATATGTGATGCATATAGATATTTATAGATAATTTTATATTCATTGATATTGAATTACACGTAATGCTATTTATATTTTACGGTTATCGCCGGACGGCATCGCGTGAGGGTGCAACAGTTCATTGGAAACCATAGTTTCTAATATTGTCAAATGTCGTCAAGCGTTACGGTCGGTCGTTGTCGCTGCAGTGTGTCTTAACATGAGCCTTTGAGTGCGTTCCTTCCGCAAGTAAAAAATATAGAGAAAGTGACCGAAAACGCGCGCTGTGAAGGACTGAGAGTATTTCGGTATTCAGGTCTTCATTTCATCGTACGACTCTGATACCAAAGCAAAAAAGAACAAAAAACTGTCGCAACTAGTTATTACAAATACTGTCGCTATTGCAAAACTCCGTTTATCATGTTCACACTGGAGCACATGGATTTCAACATAATTTCCCTGGAGATTGGTACGATCATTACACCTCGCATGAAATTCCCCTCGGAATTTTCAAGTCACCTGCGTGCTTTTAATCCTCACCAACGAGAGAATACTAACAACGGAAGAATACTTAAATGAAGGTTGACGTGGTAACCTTCACTTTTTGTAATCTACAATCTACACTTGTTTCTATCCTGTCTATTAGAATCGATTCTGTTTATTAGAATTGATCATGTCTATTAGAATCTATCCCGTCCATTAGGATCTAGCCTGTCTATTAGGACCGATCCTGTCTATAGGGACCGGTCCCGTCTGTTTCTATCTGGCGTGACATCTGGTTAATAACGAGGCGAAACACAGAAACCAGTAGGTGGCTAGCATACTGCGTATTTGATGTCAACGATGGCATTCTCATTTAAAAACCGCTATATGTACATGCGCGGATATTGTCCGCGTATCGCTACCGAATTTTGATGCAGCTAATTATAATCAGTCATATGTCGCTCGAAGAGCCATGCGGGTGAGCATAGCACGGCGTTAGCAGGTAATATAAACTCATGCGCGCAGATATACCAACGTGTAGAATAACCAGTTGAATCGATGAAATCAGGAGTGGTTAGAAATAAGAATTGTTATATTTTACTCCTCGTTAAACGGATAGAGCTACAGAATACCTTATCCGCGATTCTGAAATTCAGCAAAAACTTTTTTTCGTGGATTTTTTAATATTACAAACAAACTGTTTACAGTATTTATTTATCCTAATCAATGTAAGTATTCAAGGGGTTCGCTGCAAAAATATTGATGTGCTTATACTTGCGGTAATTACGGGCAGCAGCGACAGACCGAACAAAAATCAGACGGCACATCTGGCCAAAGGGTTTTGGATAAGGGATGGTGGTTATTATATATATATATAAAAAGATAAATAAATATATATATATATATATATATATATATATATATATATATATAATGTGTGCGCGCGAACGTGCGTGCGTGCGTGCGTGCGTGTATGCGCGCGTCTGTGCGTATTATTATAATATGAATATGAGTTGCCGCATTCAACGTCGTATTCTTATCGAATTCTTATTTCTCCGCACATTAACAACGTACATAGTCGCACTCACTGACACAACCGGCGCAGATTTTCATTAAAAGCCAGCTTTACCGCATTACACGCGAATCGTGGAATGATTTAATATTTGTAAACCAGATAACAGCACGGAGCGTTAATCCATCCGATTCTTTTCCCGCGTTTACCATTGTCACTACATGGTAATCTTATTATTATTGCATTATTTATTGCATTTATCAACGTCAATTCAATCAGATCTCACATATTCATATTTATGCTAAACGAGCATATAAATTATTATAGATAATTCATAGCAACTAACAGTGCAGGCAAAAATATTACACAGCCCGCCATTATAACATAACCGAAAGAAACAGATAGTAATTCAGCGCAAGAATAGAACGACCATCCACCGAAGACTATGATAGACACGTTACTGGGTAATTATCTCACCTTCTGTATGGAAGCTGCCAACGAGAGTGCCAGGAGAGCGAACAGCATGACAGAGACGAGAGAAGCCGATGTCAGTGTCGAAGCCATCGTGGTGCACTATGTCGCAGCAACAACTTCCAACAACAATCGAATGAATCTCTTTAGTAACACGCGGCAATTCGGCGGTGAGGAACGCCAAGCGATGCCAGCGGTCCTGAGCTGAGTCGCTCGCTATATATACGCCTACAAGGTGAGCGAGGTCTGCCGCTGCTGCCGCTGTCTGTTGCTGGACTGCTGACGACGGTGCTACCCTCTGTGTGCAGACGGATGCGAAGTCGGTAGAGCTGCGCGCGCGTGCTTGTGAACCCACCAGAGCGATCAGCCCGCGTTTTATAGCTGCGCGGTACATGCTCGTGCCTCCACGCACGTGACGATGACGACTTCAGTCACCCCCGCCCCCCACCCACCAGATACATAAGGGAATCAGGCGCGCGTTAATTAGGCATGAGTGTGTCTGTAGACACGCGTGGATGTGATGAGTGAGAGGCTCTGTAAAAGGCTTTGTAGCTCTCCGCCGGATAATATTTTTTCTGAAGCCTTGCCACGGAGCGGGTGACGGCAAACCCGTCGGCCCAAAACGTTCGACGTGTTCGAGATCGAACTTCTAGCACGTCGGGTCGTGGTAGTAAGGTCAATATTGCTACACGTGTAGCGTCGAGTCTATCGTATGTTTTTCAGGGCAGTTATTTCAGTCTCTGTCTGTAGAACAAAAATGAGCGCGACAGCCGGTAAGGGCGGGGGTTAGTTCTACGAAGTTAGTGCGTTGACCTTCTTCTCCTCGCGAATAGACAGGCGCTATGTACGTAAAAGATGCTGGGCGCGGAGAGAGAGAGAGAGAGAGTGTGTGTGTGCGAGAGAGAAACACACACACACACACACACACACACACACACACACACACACACACACACACACACACACACACACACACACACACACACACACACACACACACACACACACACACACACACACACACACACACACACACGAGAGAGAGAGAGAGAGAGAGAGAGAGAGAGAGAGACGAGAGAGAGAGAGAGAAGAAAGAGAGAGAGAAAGAGACAGAAAAGAGAGAGAAGAGACAGAGGAGAGAGAGAGAGAGAGAGAGGAGAGAGAAGGAGAGCAGCAGGAGAGAAAAGAGAAAGAGAGAGAAAGAGAGAGAGAGAGAGAGAGAGAGAGAGAGAGAGAGACGAGAGAGAGGGGAGAGAGAGAGAGAGAGAGAGAAGAGAGAGAGAGAGGAGAGAGAAACAGTGAAGGAAAAGAAAGTTAAGGAAAGAGAAGCGAAGAGAAACGAGATTCAGGGAAGAGAAAGAGAGAGAAATGACCCGAGCGAAAGAGGAGAGAGAGAGAGAGAGAGAGAGGAGAGAGAGAGAGAGCAGAGAAAGAAAGATTGCGAGAGCGAGGAGAAGGAACTGGTAGCGAAAAAGAGAGACCCAGGAGAAGACCCACGCCATGACGTCTTGGCGGCGTTTCTACGAGCTACACAAAATTCCTATCGGCCATGAGACGATTAAATCTCCAAGCCGCGATAACGTCTCAATTCAGCGTAAGTGCCAACAGCGCGCACAGACGCGTCTAGAATTCTCGTTGCTTCGCAGGCGGCATTTTGCCGCGTCTTTGCGAATTATCCTAAGTCCTGTTGCGTTAGCTAGAGCGCGAAGGCGTTCTGCGCGAAAACAGCGCGATTTCTCCGTCGTTTGACGCGAGATAGGTGCGGGTGCCAGTGAACTGCCGGCTGCAAGCTATCGCGACACGCCGGTCCTACGCGATTCTGACATTTTGGCCTTCTCTAAATCTCCCTTTTTCCTCCTCTCTCAACCATCCCCATCCCTTTCTTCCTGCGCCTCCCGAGTTGTCAACACACACACACACACACACACACACACACACACACACACACACACACACACACACACACACACATATACATGTGCTATCTCGGACCATTTTATTTACCCCGATTACTAGAAATTTTTGATTTTAATGTGATGTAAGACACTATATACGTGATCATGTGATGACATGTGATGACATGTGATGACATGTGATGACATGTGATGATACGTGGCTTCATGTGATGGCCATTTCTATCTGCATAACAAATGGTTTTTATTATACAGCGACCTGATACCTCGGTGTATATAGATCGAAGTCTATCCAATACTGCTCTGCTTCATTTCTGAGAAAATGATGGCGCATCATAACCTAACGCGTCGTTTCCGACTTTCCGATCATTGAATTCATTTTCATCGACTCGCTGACTTTATTCAAAACCATTTTCTACGAAGCGATTTTTCGGAAATAAGAACGGAAATAACTCCTATTGGAAAATGCTCCTTATGCCGTTTTCATCCTGCCGTTAAACGCGTGAGATCAGACAGCACACGTAAGCACTATATGGTTTTTAGTTTTTCGACCATTCGAAGATAAAGATAACTGCCCATTCACGCCGAAAACGACGTGGATCAAGGCGCAATTCTTTGCCTCCGAAAAATGCTTCCGCGTTTCCCTCTAGATGGATTCTATCGTCCCTGTGACGTGTTGTAACTACGCACATCAAACTGATTTGTGGCCATCTAGGAATCATTGGTCGTTTGAACTGGTGATTCGTATACCGTAGATACATTTCAGGTTGGGAGAACCAAATTTCCGTGCTTTATTCCCCGACACGAGGCTGCGACAATTCACGAAAGACACGATAGCAGCGGGAGCGCAGAGTCACAGCGTTGTTTGATGTGGTGATAGAATATCAAGATAGAACAAAGGGCAGCGACCTGAGAATATTCTTAGTGCGGGGGCAAATGATGTTTCGTCACCCGAGCAATGGTGGGGAAATACTTTTTCAAGGAAAGAGATATTTCAAGAAACAGCCCGCACGCAGGGGGTCGTAATCAAAAATAGCCTATACTTTTCTCCGAAAAAGTGACGGCCAAAAAATACTAATCCGCAGAGATTTTATGTTTCCGGGTAGAATGACTAAGAACCGCAACGTAGCAGCTATTTGTAGCCACATGTTCACGTGTATTCTCACACTAGGGGGTGTATTAAAAGATGTTAGGCAGTGTAATGGCATAGTACTGAGTGAATAGGCCTAAAAAATTGAGAGACAAATGTATCTAGGTGCTGGTAAATAGGATACATTCAAGAGCGTATTAAGTATTAAGTATTAAGTATACTTAATATAGGGGGCCTACGCTCTTAATACATTTTATTTCGAGAAAACCAAGAATCCGGTACCAAATGCATATATATAGTGTGGGCGATTCATGGGGGAGCTAGTATTTCGGATGCGATTAGCAGCATAAATGCAGTGAAACTGAGAATGCAGGAGGTCCGTGACGTATAACGATCGTGTCAAACAAAATTCCAGGCGAATTAGAATAATTGATAATAAATTATAATAAATTTATGGTTTCCAGTGACTATAAACGACAGGTATCCGAGACGAGTTTTTTTTTGGGTAGATACTAATGTTGCTGGACGGAAAAACTATTGATTCCAGGCGTGTAGCACTTGCCAGCGTGAATCAGGGAGAACGGGGAGTTCCCCAGAAACGTTGTGCTTTTATTGTCTTACTATAAAGATACTAGCGGTTCGACAATAATTATGTGCGGCATATAATGAAAATATGGTACACAGGTGTAGCCCTACCGTCTTTAGCGGTAGCCCTAAATAAAACGCGAAAACGTTTCGCAACCGCAACCTATTTTTAATGTTCAATAGATAATATGTTCAAACTTGTCCACCGGGCAAATTCCTCTAGCTACTTTTCAGTTTTACAGCAGCGGATCTTCCTGTAAGGGAAGAATCGAAAATCGTCCTCTGAAGTATGGAGGATGAATTAAAGATGGCATACGCGATAATTTTGCTCTATTATTCATCATATTTACTCTGTGGTTACTACTTATTTATTAAGCTCATATTTTATTTGACCCTAATATCCAGTGGCGGGGGATCGGAGAGGCTCCATGTCACACCCACGGCCACACTATTAAGCTACAGCCCTTAGGTCATCGCGTCTGTACATGGAGGGTGCCCAGAACCACATAGAGAAAGCTGCTAACTCAGATTTTAGCCGAACATTCGCGGTGTTATTTCCGATACGCCAACAAAGGTCAGTCAGGTGCCATTGCGCTACTAGTGAGTGTGCAAAGTATGTACATACTGTAAATGCTCGTTGCGTCTAGTAAAGTCACGTAAGTGTGTTTACTTAGATGCCGAGGTTAAATTATTTGATTTTTAAAATGTACATGAAATGCTAAAACTTTGTCTTTGCAGCTGAATGGTGCTCGAGACATAGAGTTATACGCCGTAGCTATCGTGAATGGATGAAGAGGGGCAGTTGTACCCCCCTGTTACAAACGTACGAAGCACTATCAATGTTCATCATGCGGCGGTGTACGCGGCAGTGTGGGGGCAGGTGAACGGCCGCTATGGCGATCAATGTTAGGCGTACACGCAGGCACGCACGCATGCATGCACACCCAGGTGCACACTCAATAACTAGCAGTCTACTTGATGAGGTTCGGATCACGGTTTGGATAATGACACACTCAAAGCTGCTCTCCACTTACTCTCCTCTCGTACCAGCCAATGCTCCATAGAAGCTAGACAGTAGATTGATTTCATTGTATGTACCATGCACTCCAGCACTCGCAGGAAACCTAATCACACTCGAGTAAATATCAGCTATATATAACAGTAACGATCGACTACGTCGTTCAATGTATACGCCACTCAAACATTACTCTAAAGATAGAAACTCAACGTCAGAAAATTTTATTTTCGGGCTGAACAATAAACAGTAATCAAAATATTTAAACATGAAAATAGATTAAAGTAGAAATTTGATCAAAACACTTACATTAAAATACAATGGCGCAAATATGTAACAAATTATCTGCACCGCTTGCATTTGGTCAATTATTTTATTTAGTTATATATGGCACACTACACACAATACTGATCAATTGCTAGCCTAGGTGCGAAATGTCACAAAACCTTGACTTGTTTTAAAACGTGTTTGAGTTGCATGCCACTATATATAATTCATTATATGTTCCACTTTTAAGTAATGCATCAATGACATGCAGCGAGGACTTACTGCCTAGTGTTTCCTCCAATAATATGAATAACCCTGCATCACCCTGAGTTACCCTTGTAGTCACCATGTAGAGCTGGTTTATCCCAATACCTCCGCACATATATCTCACTACTATCTTGTTCTGATAGAATTCGTCTAATAACAAACTACCCATTTACATTTTTTCAACGTTTTTTGCATCAAATAGGTTACAAATACATTGTCAGTAGGCCTTGAATATAATAAAAACATTATTGCAAAGAAAACGGAATGATAATCTGATTTCACCAACGAGTACACGACAACCCCCACCCCAGTTCTCACTAACATCACACTGACCAATCCCAACATCCTTTACTCGCTCCTATTTAACAGTCAAGTAATACAACCCGTCTACACAACTCCTCTCATCTCCAACTTCATATTCGTGCCGCGTTTTTTGTTGTTGCACGTATCTGACTCCCCATCCCCCGCACGCGCGTGTGCAGTTACAACTTCGACTGCATCTTTCCCATCAGTTTCTCCAGCTTCATGGCCTTGCCCATGTCGCCCTTGATCTTCAGCTTGCCGGACATGAATGCGACGGCTGGCTTCAGCTGCCCGCTGAACATCTTAACGAAGTTCTCGCTGCTCATCGTCATCGTCGTGTCGGTCTTCGCAGGCGCGTCGCCCCTCCCGTACGCGCCCTCCCCCGCCTTCAGATCGAGATGGTACTTCCCGTCCTCCTTGAGGTCAAACAGGTAGGTGGCGCCGGTCGACTTCACCAGATCGGCGCTCAGCAGGCCGCTGATCTTCGTGAAGATCGCCTCGACTTCGGGATTTCCTGCCTCGGCCGCGGCCGCCGCGCCGCCGGCGTCTCCGCCCGCGCTCTTGTACGCGGCCTCGCCGCCGTGCGCCTCCATGTGCTTGACGAGCGCTTCCGGGTCAACATCGAGGAAGAAGTCCGGCAGCAGCGGGTGACCGGGCTCGACGGCGTACTGCTCAAAGTCGCTGACGCCCGTCTCGCGCAGCAAGTCCTCGTCGATGTAGAAGTTGCCCGTGGCATCGCGCGCGGGCCGCGTGAGCACCGCGTGCGCCGCGTCCGCCATGATCTCCTCGCGGCGGCACTGCCGGCCGATGTCGGCGCCGCCGAGCATGCTCATCGCCGCCGTCGCGATCGCCGTGCGCGGCCAGAGGGCGTTGACGGCGACGCCGTCGTCGCGGAACTCCTCGGCCATGCCGAGCACGCACATCGACATGCCGTACTTGGCCATCGTGTAGCCGACGTGGTTCTTGAACCAGTGCGGCGCGAGGTTGAGCGGCGGCGCGATGTTGAGGATGTGCGGGTTCGCCGCCTTGAGCAGGTGCGGCAGGCAGAGCTTCGAGACGAGGTAGGTGCCGCGCGCGTTCACCGTCTGCATGAGGTCGTAGCGCTTCATCGGCAGCTCGAGCGTGCCGACGAGCGCGATCGCGCTCGCGTTGTTCACGACGACGTCGATGCCGCCGAACAGGCGCGCCGCCTCGTCGACGGCCGCCTGCACCTGCGCCTCCTCGCGCACGTCGACGACGCACGGCAGGCACTGCCCGCCGGCTCCCTCTATCTCCTTCGCGGCCGTGTAGATCGTGCCGGGCAGTTTCGGGTTCGGGTCGGACGTCTTCGCGGCGATGACGATGCGGGCGCCGTCGCGCGCCGCCCGCATCGCGATCGCCTTGCCGATGCCACGGGTCGCGCCCGTGATGAACAGTGTCTTTCCGGCTAGACTCATCGTGCGTCTGACTTCGGTAGTTCCTCACACGTTACTGGGTCACTGCAGGAAAAGATAAGAGTGAATGTAGAATAGGCAAGGGAATGTAGAGTGAGCGGCACAACATGCAATGCAGAGAGTCAAGTGAGCGTTCATTACAAAATACAAAGCAGAGAGTTGGGTCAGTGTCACAATATATACAATGTAGAGAGTCAAGTAAACATTCATCACAAAATACAAAGTGGAGAAAGTTGGGTCCGTGTCACAATATATACAATGCAGGGAGTCAAGTGCACGTCACGACACACGAAGCAGAGACTCAAATAAGTACCACGAAATACAAAGCAGTGTGACACAAGTGTCGTGAAATACAGGGCAGTATCAGGTGGCCGGGTGACACAAAATACACCCGTGTCAACTGAGTTTCACGAAATACAAATCAATGTTAAGTGAATGCCACGAAATACAAAGCAGTATCAAGTGAGCATCACAAAAAACAGATCACTCGCTGACTTGGCTTAGCGTGTAAATAGTTAACGTAGATGGACATGGTGTTGTGCCATGGGCGCATATGACACGTTGCCACGACACATCTCAGTGTGCTGTATCGAGTTTTTAAATGACATCCAGTGTCTAATGTCCCCAAACACATATCGTAAATGGTTTTTAAAAAAGTTTTATGGTCGTACGTGCACAATTTACCGAGGTTGGTGTGAATAAATATCGTGCAGCGAGCGCATCCAGCAGCAAGTCCCTTATCAGCTTCTGCACATAGTCTGTGGATTTATCATTGCTGCAGGGGTTCGAAGTACACATCATATGAACGAATCACGTTCAGAAATGTGCAAATGGGGCAAAAGGTGATTCTGAATGATGCGACAGCGATTCTAAATTAGATTGGCACACTGTGCGTAAAGTATTAGAACATATTCTGAGCACAAAATTAATTGTTCGTCGAATTCAGTTTGGTATACAGGCGTGCAGCGGCGTACATGACATGTACTAGTACATCTAAGTACTGTAAAGGTTATAAGCACAAACTAATATAGCTTTGACCGGTACTCACACTTTCAATATATTACATGCCTGGTTGATCCGCAATTAAATACGAAAATCAGGCAAAATTACGATGGGGATGAGACTACACGAGACATGTATACATATTCTGATTCTACAGTTTAGATAAGGACTGGTTCTCTGCGGTCACATCTTTCGTCGTGATCTATCTACAATCTACTACACATGTATTACCCTCATCCACAACACCGACACAACTCCTAGAGCATTCTATGTTGTTACAACAATACCTGAATGGAAATGCATTATCTATAAACAGAAGATGCTAATAAACAAATACCCTAAGTATCTCACCTCTGGAAATTTGAAACATTATTAGAGGTGGGACGATTCATCGATATTTTGACGTATCACGATACAAATCTTTACGATTCACGTACAAATACGTTTGACCATTCACGAGACACGTATCAATACTGTACTGAATAAAAACCATATCATTTAGTAGTGTTATTTCATAAAAACACACACAATTTCCAATTCCATAGCAGTCGTTCACTAAGCACTCCATAACACCGATTTGTAGCCATTCACATGATTGGTAGAATCCCGGTTGAGTGTATAGTTTGTTAGGTAATTTCACTTGAAAGTATCGCGATACGCATTGTACCGTGAAGGCTGTATCGTGATATGGATCGCATTGCGAGCTACGTGTATCGCCCCACCCGTGAAAGTTACAGACAGCAAATTTATAAACTTCAGTCTCTCTGAATCGGATATCTCTAAAAACATGTTTCTGAGAGATGTGACGTGCTTCCATGAACATGCAGTTATGGAAAACACTAAAAGCCCTTGCCATATGCCGAACGAGCAAATCCCAAACCTTACTGGGCAAGGAAATCTTGCAAGAAAACTAGTATCCAAATAGAAAAAAATTGCCGAAATATGCAATGCACACAACTACACCAACCTAGCAGCTAGTATAGGAAATGTCATTTCTGAAATAAGCACTCACACAAACGTTTCTGCCATTATAAGCAATGCAACCAGCGCAAGATTCAGCTTGCTGTCTATTACTCATTTTAAAAGTCCCAAAAGCTACTCAAATATGGCCTCCAATAATTAAGGCTGCTGGTCCTGACCTCATAAAGTCAACCTTTGCCCAACTAATGGCTAATATATGGAATCATAATGGCTATAATAGAATCGCTATAAGGAATGGCTATAAGGAAATCACACAGCCACTTGCTACATTATAACGCACTGCACCATGGCATATGGCAGCATAACCTCCAAAAAGAAGGACGAGATTATAAGGGAAACTAGCAACCAGCAAGTGTCCTGTCGTACATCTCTGTAGTATTGAGACTGCTTAGTAGACAACTAGGAATGCACCTTGATTAAATTTCATCACTTCTCATTTCAGCATATCACAATTAACACATTTACCACAGTGCTGATCGGGCAGTGTGAAAGATGGCAATGGGCTTTTGACCAAAGGAAGTATGCATGGAATGTTATAATGAGCATTCGCAGGGCATTTGACAGCTATCCCAATGATCAATCGAGTCTTGGTAAAAATTCATGCATCTAGACCAACAATTAATACACTGGCCCCCTGTGCAGCTATCTTGAAAGCCCATCTACTAGTAAAACTTTCCTCAGTACCTGTCAAATGCTGACAAAGGAGACACTACAAGTCTCAGTCTCCGCACCATTTTTTTCCCAATATTATCAATAATGATATTTTCATAATATTTACAAGATTTAGATATTGTAAATTATTTAGATGACAACACACAACATTCATACAGCAACAAGCATACAAATCAGCCCTGACAAATATCAGTGTATTCTCATAGGAGCTATCACTAACCTCTAACCTTGCAGACATTGAACTTCAGGTTGACAACTTCACAATAACGAAGAAGCCAGATGTCACACTACTTGCAGGGTGCGAAATTAACGCGAGTCCGGAGTCAAATACTCCCTGATTTACTGTCGGACTCCCTGATTTGACATATGCAGAAGTCTGTGTGGCTCCCTGAAAATTCTGCTATACTAACTAGTTCGTTCCAGAGCACGGCCTCGCCATATTTTTTCAGCAAATGTCCAAAGAAAATTTGGCAGACATACAACTGCATGAATCTTCAAAATAAGCCCATGCGTTATTGTTAATATCTTTAGTTTTGAACTTCAGACTGCAGACTCCCTCATTTTGCTGCGAACTCCCTCTTTTTGAGGGCAGGGTTTGGAAGAAGTTCGACTCCCTTGTTCAAAAGTTAATTTCTACCCCCGACTTGGTACGGGCACTGACAGCTACCTCACGTTTAGCAAACATACCAGTAACATGTGCACCATTACTTCCACTAAATGTGGTAAAACGTTTAGGCAAATAGTTCGGATTACAAATGCAGACTGCAAAAATGCAAGTCATACTACCCTACAAGCTTCCATTCCTGACCAGCTGTTTTGCATTACGTGACACAAGCAAATGGAGACAAACTTTTTAATGTATGAAAATAATACACTGCATGTTTTGTTTTTGGTCGTGGTGGCCACAGATGATAATCCGGCTCATGCAAACTTTCCTAACTTGGGTCTGTGCATGGTTAGTTAGAAACACTGTAACAGAAACCTACAAAACCCAGTCTACATTAGGAATCCACTTAACATTCTTGATAATTAGTTACTGATTATAGCTATCGCTATACTTACTGTTATTATCAACTGCCTTGTTTTTTATCTGTGTTGTTATGTGTAGCGCTTGTCCCCTATGCAGTTCCACAGGGACTTGTACATTTCTAGTGTGCAATTATCATCTGCCATTACCTGATATAATGTACATTTTTCACAGAGCTGTTTTGTAACTATAAGTAGGCCTATAGATAAGTTTAACTTAACAATAACAGTGATCAAATTGATGACTTCTAATTAAACTAATTAGGTACATGTTATGAATTTCAATATGCGTTGTTCGGGTCAAAGATAGTTTGGAACCCCGCAAATGTGTTTTCGCATGTGCTAAACCAATCCAGGGTACCTAAACTTGGCTTGGGAAACGATGTAGTAGTAGGAGAAATTTCACAGCTAGTGTATACATTATCCAGCTAGTTTAGACTAGTAGGAGAAATTTCCCAGCTAGTGTATACGTTATTCAGCTAGTTTAGGCTAGTAGTAGTAGGAGAAATTTCCCAGCTAGTTAAGACTATAGTAGGAGAAATTTCCCAGCTAGTGTATACATTTCCCAGCTAGATTAGGATGATAGGAGAAATTTCCCAGCTAGTTTAGACTTGTAGGAGAAATTTTCCAGCTAGTTTAGACCAGTAGGAGAAATTTTCCAACTAGTGTATACATTTCCCAGCTAGATTAGGATGATAGGAGAAATTTCCCAGCTAGTTTAGACTAGTAGGAGAAATTTCCCAGCTAGTGTATACATTTCCCAGCTAGTGTATACATTTCCCAGCTAGTTTAGACTTGTAGGAGAAATTTCCCAGCTAGTTTAGACTGGTAGGAGAAATTTCCCAGCTAGTGTATACATTATTCAGCTAGTTTAGGATGATAGGAGAAATTTCCCAGCTAGTTTAGACTTGTAGGAGAAATTTCCCAGCTATTGTATACAGTGTTGTAGGTCTCGAGGCCGGTCTTGGCCTAGAGACTGGCCTCAAGACCGTTTTCCTTGGTCTCGATCTCGGTCTTAATTGGCCTCAGAGTGCAATGACTTGGACTCAGACTCGGACTCGAGCCCTCCGGAGTTGAGGACTCGGGTCGAGGCCACTACATACATAGTACACAACTGTACATATTGTAACACGCAGTTTACAAGAATTTAAAACTAAAACTCCTAGGTTTTCTAGATACACGGCCTAATCTTGTAACGTTTTCAATGGCTCGATTAAGATTCTTGTCCCTTTGGTTTGAATCTGCTGTCACTTCGTCCCTTTGCGCTTTTTCTACCACTTCTTTCTCTTCTTCTACCACTTCAAAGGTACTAGCACTCTCTCATTTGGTTCAACAAGCCGTGTCATTCTCGTAAAACACAAATGGATCCGTTACTTTGACACGTTTCGTATGACTCGTCTCTCTGTTTTCGGCTGACTATACACTTTCAAATGTCTACGATGCACTGTTGCAATTTTTTCCCTTTTTTAAGATTTTTTTCCTTTTTCCCCCTTTAAAAAAAAATCAAAACTGGACTCAGACTCGGACTCGGACTCAGACTCGGGTGGCGCGAACTCGGACTCGGGGGGGGGGAGACTCGGACTCGGGGGGGTGCGGACTCGACTACAACACTGATTGTATGTATAGTGTATAGTATTACGTTCTTGATTAAAACTGTGAAATTACGAGCGTCGTAAAGACAGACAAATTTCTTCATATACACATGCTCTGCATCGTGGGCGCCTTCTCGATTTTATTACCGATACAGCCAAACTTTTCGGTGCACCAGATCGTATTCATATCGCTAACAAAACAAATGCGCCTGCTGTTATTTTAGAATTGGTAGAGCGATCTTGTATGGACCGGTCTTCAATCAACTACGCGCAAGCGGTTTTCAACTTGTTTACGACAGCTGACTGTTCACCATGTCAGGTGACATGCTTTCTGGGCATTGATTGGTTTGCTGACATATGCGGCTTTGGGGATAAATACATGTTATTTTGGATAAGATTAGTTCATTCAATCATTGCTGTAAGTGTAACAGAGTCATACTATATCACAGCTAATTAACAGCCAATATATCCGACCATGGCCGATGTCCTGCTTTTGTTGAAGGCTGATACTCCCTTGGAATTAGTACTAGTAGCAGTTATACTAGTAGTAGGTATGTAGCTAGTAGTAGCAGTGGTACTTGATGTCAAGACACACGTGTCCCGTTTCCCGCAACTCCGGTTGAAGTATTTACCGGATGACGTCATGTGACGTCACGGTTAGGTGCGCATGCGCAGAACACGCAGCGTCAAATTATTTACCGGCTGAGAAATTTACCGGGACACCGGCCAGGCAGTGGCAGTCACAGGCACTTGGAACGTCTCAATAAAAAAAAAAGTAAACAAACACAAAATGTATTTACTACCAGTCTTAATGTTTCTCTACTCTATTTCACATATTATTGCCGATAATCACGTGTAAATGCCGGTCAAATGCTCATCTGCAACACACAAGTACACCGCACGCACGCCCTGTGCACAAACAACATGAATAAGAGAGCAGGTAGGAAAGCGTGATCGCAAAATTCGCTCGATGCTCGCTTCATTTCACACCTTCGCAGCACGAATACATATCCAACAGCTTCCATCATGGTATCTATGTGTAGCTAAATGTTCACTTGTTCGAATTATAACTTTGTCCTTTGTTCTCAACTACTGCAGCCAGAGATATCTCGTGAAATCCTGCAGGAAATGTTCTCTCCGTGAAAGTGTAAAAAGGACGCATCATCAAAAAATCCCTAACGGCGCTACTCGATCTTTTGACCAATCACTGTAGTAGTGTGTACGTGTGACGTCATGCCCGCGCGCATTAGGGTTGGCTTGGCGGGCCTCGAAACGGAGCTCGGAGGCAGGCAGCAGCTCATCCCGGCATGCAATGCACCCCATTACTCGTGTATAAACAGACATTACGTCCTATTTACATTTTCACTGAGAGAACCCACACCAAATTATCCACCAAAATCGTCGGTGTAGGCATTGCCATTGGTCAGAGGAATCTCGGACTAAAGGCCAAGACACACTGCAGCGACAACGACCGACCGTAACGACAAACGACAAAGTCGCGGCGACTGGCGCAGCCACACTGCAGCGACAACGACCGACCGTAACGACAAACGACAAAGTCGCGGCGACTGGCGCAGCCACACTGCAGCGACAACGACCGACCGTAACGACAAACGACAAAGTCGCGGCGACTGGCGCAGCCACACTGCAGCGACAACGACCGACCGTAACGACAAACGACAAAGTCGCGGCGACTGGCGCAGCCA